GAAGTGGATTGGGCACACTTTGAGGAAATCACCCAATTGTGTCACAAGACAAGCCCTCACATGGAATTCTGAAGGTCGAAGGAGAAGAGGAAGACCAAAGAACACATTACGCCGAGAAATAGAGGCAGACATGAGAAGAATGAACAAGAACTGGAAAGAACTAGAAAAGAAGGCCCAGGACAGAGTGGGTTGGAGAAAGCTGGTCGGCGGCCTATGCTCCATTGGGAGTAACAGGCGAAAGTAAGTAAGTAGTAAGTAAGCTCAAAGAACAAAACCTCATCAAAATCACTCATCTGTACTACAAATCTTCTTGACTATTCTGAAGTAAAATATACTGATCACTATAATGTACAATGAACCGAATAACCATTTACTTATTTATATTCGATAATTTTGATATTTGATTATATTCTCTTGAAAAATCTTTTATCAAATTGCCAAGCGATAAATTGGATTTACTACAAATTCAAATTCGATAAGATTTTATAAATATATTCTTCTTCCTATTTAATGTCTTACATCAACTTGGCATTCAAATACTTTGAAACTATTCAATCTAATTAAGAAGAAAATTTTTATACTATACACCTATTGTGTTTTTAAGGAGATATGCGTTCAGTAGTTAAATTACAATGTTATTGATTATACTTACTCTTATAGATGATTGTGAATTTTCAACTATGTACATTAAACAGAGATGGATAGTGGCTAGCAGTGGAATCCAGGACGCGCGTTTCGTCCTATTTGAGACTCGTCAGCTGGATGTACCTGCATCTCAGAGTTGATGTTCACTCTGGGACTCGAACCCAGTGCTTGTGAATTAAGGTATATCGAGGCAATACGCACAGTATGCACATATGCCAATTAGAGACTGACCAGTTGCAGTCCTAAGCACATCGATGGGAAGATCCAAACAAACAATACTAAGTGTATGTACATTAAAGTTTTTTTGATTGACTGTATATGTTTGTCTGACGATGTGTTTGTATGAAATCGAGATAACAGATTTTTGATTTACAATACGTACTTCACTTGAATTCATATAGCCATACATTCATTTACTCTATCCAATTACTTCAATGAAGGACAAACATTCTTAAAATAAACCATTGTCCAATAATATTTCATATCATTATAACGTAATCAATGAAGTATTTAAGTCAGTTAATAGTTAGAAGTTAATCTGAACAAGTTGGTGATGAGGATCTTTCATATCAATTCTAAAATATTAAGTCTAATCATAACTTGGAAGATCTTCCCAATTCATACAATATTATAAATAATACAATAAGTGTACATAATTAATGATTGTATGTAAACGAACTTTCTCGACCCCCCCCCCTCGAAAATACGTTGTTAAAGTTATTGGATACTGTATTACACTGCCTACATATCATAGAAGAATATTGAAGAAATCATAAATCTAATCTATAATAATTGTTTATGTTCCATAGTTCTTTTCGAGCGTGTGTGTGTGTGTGTGTGTAAATTTATGTAAAAGTCTTACAAATGCAAAGGTGTAATTTATATGACTGATAATTTATCTTATATTGTTTATTTAAATCTTCGCATTGATGTATACGACTGTAATTGATCAGTCACTTATTGATATATGTGTATCTTGTGAAGATTGCCTCAATATTGCCTTAAGTCAGTGTAAGGCAGTGTAAGCAAAGATAGATGATGGTTAGTTGTGAAATGTAAGATGCACCATTACACAAGCAAATGGCTATGAGGATGCAGTTGATAGTCTAAAAGTGTATTAAATAAATAACTACAACAATGGGTTTTTTTCGGGGGGGGGCGAATAGTTCGTTTACATACAATCATCAATTATGTACACTTATTGTATTATTTATAATATTGTATGAATTGGGAAGATCTTCCAAGTTATGATTAGACTTAATATTTTGGAATTGATATGAAAGATCCTCATCACCAACTTGTTCAGATTAACTTCTAACTATTAACTGACTTAAATACTTCATTGATTACGTTTGTCTAGGATGTATTAATAATTAATTTATAATGATACGAAATATAATTATTATTTATGTAAAAACAATAGAGTATTGGAAGTTTAATTAGTGAAACTCAATAGAAATATAATTATCAAAAGGGGCTTTCGTGAAGATTTACTATTTTCATAGTTGGAAGCGTTAATCAATTGAAGTTAGACCACCAGTGAAAACCTGAAAACACTGGACGGCCGTTTCATCCTATTGTGGAACTCCTCAGCAGTGGTTTATCAGTTAAGTCCTCGCGTGCGAGATAGATAGGTCCTAGCTTGGAATATCACGAGGTGAGCTCATGGATAAGCACTACTGAGAAGTCCCACAATAGGACGAAGCGGCCGCTCAGTGTTTTCCGGTTTTCTTTGGTGATCTAGCTTCAATTGACTCACACTTTAAATTATTAAGAAATATAATTATAATGAGTATCATTGCCAAGATTTAACTTGATAATTTCCAATAAATTGATTATTAGGCAGAGCGTTATAAATAAACTAATATATTTGTAGATATTCCAATGAATAGAAAAATTACATTTTCTGATGTTTCGTAACTTAATTTAAGCTACTTCTTCAAAGAATAAATAACTAAATCACAAATTAATCCAAGTTTAAATAGTACAATGGAACAACGAAAGAATATTGTGTAATCAATCCAAAAAAAACAAGTCTGAATTAATCAATGTCGTGTCATTTCAATTAGGGTGAATCATAAGCGATATGTTTTTTTGAAAAAAAATTTTGATTGATCATACCTAATATTCTTGGATTGTTCTATTGTACTATTTAAACAAGGATTAATTTTTGATTTGGTTATTTATTCTCTGAAGAAGTAGCTTAAACTGAGTCACGAAACTTCAGAAAATCTAATTTTTCTACTCATTGGGAATATCAACAAACATATTAGATTATTTATAATTGTAATAAGTAAATATTGTATATCTACATGGATATTGACGATTACTTTTAACGAACATTATCTGGAACCATTTGAATATTTTATAAAATAGACAATCTAATTAATCATCAGAATAATTCAATTAGTATTCTTTGTTTGAATCTTCCAATTGATGGTCAGGACTGCAATTGATCAGTCTCTTATTGGTCATATATGCATACTGTGCGTATTACCTCGATATATAGCCTTAATTCACAAACATTGTAAGTAAAGATGGATAGTGAACAACAATTGTAATATGCAGGTACATCCAGCTGATGATTACGAAATAGGACGAAACTCTCATCCTGGTTTCCACTGTTAGCTATTATCCATCTTTGCTTATAATCATCAGAATGGTTATATTTCTTAAGTAAATCCTACTTTAGTCAACATGTCAATATTGAATGATTATTCAAAATAAGCGTTGTTGACTACCCCATGGTAAATGCTATTTATTATCATTGGTTATTTTCATCAGTCTTCAGAACAAGAATTAACAAGTTGACATGTGAAACTGTATTAACTGGAGGGGATTTCAATTTAATGCTGATGTTTTTTTTTTAAAGTATATTATGATAACTAAAGTAACTCTTTGTCTTCTTATTACACTATCGTAACTCTAGTGTGTTTTACATGTTAAAAGGTTAAACAGTACTTGAAATCAGTCAAAAGAATATTTAAGTCAATGTTTTAAATGAAATAGATTTCCATAATTAATTATCTATAAGTGGGTAAATAGCATCAATTGATAGTAAATATACAAGTGTACGATGTCGATCAATTATTGAAATTGATTAATTTTTACTGTAACTATGACCAGTTTTGTTTGTAGGAGTTTTGTCTTTTGAGTCGTATAATTTAATCATGGAACTTTCATTGTTCTTCGGAATGAAATTATCAGAATAAAAATTTCGGATAGAAGTGACATGTTCAAATTTGTTTAGTTTACAGGAAATGGTCTAACATCGAGTAGTTTACTGTCTTGACTACAGATTCAGTTAACGACTCTGAGAGTTGTTCACGAGTTCACAAGTAAATTCTTAGAACTCTGGTCATTATAAATCACTCAACTAAAGTAATCTAAATGATGATTGTAAAATGATGATTACGACAGCGTTTATTACTTAGAGGATTGCTCTGTCTACATAAGTAGACCATTAATGATAGTCAGTAGTATATCACAGTAAGTGACATTTGGGAACGTATACAGTAATAAAAATACACAATATAGCATACTTTACATTCACATTTGCAAGTATCCCATAGTAATATTTCTAATAAGTAGTATACAGTAATTTGTTATAAAGTAAATCACTAACAGTCTTTTCACAACGACCTATAATAAGTGTTTAGTCATGCTGTACAAATGTCAATAAACACGGCTGTCAACATGGAATACGTTTATAGTAGTAAATATTAAGTCAATCATATACTACTGATCACGTTTAAATTGTACTATATTTCGTTACCATATACTCTGTAACGATCATTTATATCACCATATACATATATACTGATATTGTGGTGTGGCAGAACTTTAATTCAGAAACTTCTGCCTCGAGTTCAAACGCACATACGATAGATCACTGAGTTGACATTCATTATTGTGTTTTTATAATGTGATGTGGTCTACTTATATCCATATAAGTAGTATATGGTAAGGGTCAAACATAGAATGTATTTTGGCAAAAGATTGATAAGGAAAGAACTAAAATGAAGCGCAATTGGTAGGAAAATGCACAAACAATGAAATTAGAGAAGATGAACTAACATTTACAGAAGGAACAGTGAAGCTAAGACAATCGGTTGTTAATTTGCAAATCAACCGTTCGCTGTATAGTTATCAGAATTTAGTCAGATAGTCTGTAATGCTGTGGGTAAATGCATTCGATTGTCCCCAGTTGTGTTCTTATTAATTACCATATGAATTGCAGTCATTTATTCAGTATTGTCAATAACATTAACCAATATAATGACTGTTTCAAATCAATATAATCATTTCTAAGACAAGTAATTTATCTACTGTACAAAAATCTTTATTATTTAAAGGCAACTAAACGACCAATTAATCAAAGAGAATTTGGATCTGGAACATCATTATGAATCAAGATGTGTGTGTGTGTGTTTGTGTATGAAAATACAAAGATTTCTATTATCTTTCCAACATACTATCATTTCATTATAATGTTCATATAATATATGAACAGTAAATGCTCAAAGGTATGTATTACAAGTAAGTTAGAATATTTGTAAAGTATTCTAACAAAAATTTTTGTTAATATAATAAAGATCATATACTCACTGGTTACTGATTTCAAGAGATATTTCCTGGAGTTCCAGTAATAAGCAGTAACCAGTGGAGTTCAACTAGGTGTATAGTGAGATATCAACTCTCTGTAAACAATTTGTAAACGGTTGTTCACCTTCTTGGATTGGTTGAAGTTAAACAGTAACACCATTGTATGCCAGCCGACTCAGTGGTCTATTGTTTAAGCTCTCACACACGCGACTGATATGTCCTGTGTTGGAATCTCGCGAGGCGGGATCGTAGATGTGCACTGATGAGGAGTCCAACAATAGAACGAAACAGCCGTCCAGTGCTTCCATGTTTCCCATGATGGTCTAGCTTCAATTGACTAATGATTTCAACTATATAAAATATTCATTACCTTTTTAACGGTCTGACTTATTATTCATACTGATACCTGATGTATATTAAGCAATTTAATGTGTTTCTGCGAATTGATACACCATTATATTGTCAATTTCCTATTTTATGGATAGTTTAACCAAATGTTAGTAGAACGTTCTCTTGTATTCTATTGTTAATAAGGTGGATACTATATGATACTGATGCTCTGTTAAGGACCTAAGTTAAACAATCATTCAACTCTCTTGGTTTTCAACAGCTCTCTAATTAGTTGCTATGAATGTGGGGAAGTATACTTGAATAGGAAATTTATTCAAATGTTTATTTCACAACTAATAAGTAACATACAACATATGTGTGCAAAGTTATTAACCAGCTAAGAATTTATTTGAGATACATTTTGAAAACTGGAAGCTTTGGACAGTCATTTTCGTTCTAGTATGAGACTTCTCAATGTTATATCTCGTGAGTTTGTACCCCGATTAATCTATGACGTGACGATGATGCAGATTAGAGAGCAGTGAATTATCAATCGGTTCAATGACACACGAAACCAATATGAGCAGTTTACAGTACTTGTCGGTCCTGCTATCTGCCTAGCCCAACCAGTTAAATCCAAAACACTAATGACAGCCTCTGCGGTATCAATCATTTATTTCAAGCATACTGGGTTTATATAGCAAAAAAACTAATCACATCATACCATAAAATAGAAAATAACATTTGTACAAGATTTGGCCAAAAGTGGCTGTAAATGTGGGGAACAGTAAATAATGGACTAAGTATAATTCAAGAATGATAAATCATGAATGGATCCCAAAGTTGTCATTCACTATTCTGATCGGGACATAACACTCAACTTTCTTCATCGTAATATCTTTTTTTACAGTAATGATCATAATGATAATTATGAAGTGCACGTTTATGTAGTCAACTTTTAGTTAAAAGTTTTATATTTATTATTTATTTATTTAAACACATAAATATTGTTACAAAAGGGCACCAGATAAATATGCGCCACACAAATCTCATTCGATTTGTGTGAGAGCTGTGATACTGCCCAGGTGACAAGACTGAAGCAGGTGGTTTTCTTAGGGGACCACACCCGGAGCCTTTGACCTGAAGGTCTAATCCACAAGGTAGTGGAGCATCATGAGGAGATGCAGTCCCATAGTAGCCGGTGATCAACGGTTGATTCGTACGCCATTTGTTCCCTCAGGATACTGGAGCCCATGTGCACCATTGGTTTGGAATCAGGGTTTTCCAACTCTCCTAGGTGAACTTTTCATGTCCACTAACCCGGTTAAAGCGCCGGACATTCGCTTTTCGTCCTCTCACTTTCGTAAACAACACCCCCGCCACGAGAAGGCAGTGAGTAGGACTTCCCTGTCAGAGGCTATATATTCGCTGGCCATATGAGAGCATTTCGAGAGGGAGAGGTGACTCTCCCAACTCTCGGACGTACCAGGGCATTTGGGGGCTTCATTATATAAGAACTAATCATTGTAACCAAGTGCTTAAACTTGATTAAAAGATGCGTTTTCTTAACCTACATAGTTACTGATTCAAAAGTGACTTGTTTCAAAATTGTGGATTCCTGAAATAACAATAGGATGAAACGGCTGTCCAGTGCTTCATGGTTTTCCATGATGGTCTAGCTTCGAATGACTCCTGATTTCAAATATAAAATCACTGAAATCTTTACAAAAAACCCCTTATAATATTCAGCATATGCTCACTAGTGATTGATTTCAAGAGATATTTACTGGAATTCTAGTGAGAAGCCGTAACTAGTGGAGTTCAACCATGTCTGTTGTGAGATATAAACTCACTGAAGACAATGGAGAACGATTACTCAACATCGTGAATTGGTTAAACATTAACACCGTTGGTCTGGTGGTTTGACGCTCGCGCACGTGACTGATAAGTCCTATGTTGGAATCTGTTGAGGCGGGATCGTGGATACGTATTACTGAGGAGTCTCACAATAGGAGGAAACGGCCAAAAACAGTATATCCATTTTTCATATGGTGGTCTAACTTCAAGTAACTGGTGTATTTCAACTATAAAAGTACTGAAATCTTCACAAAACCCCCTTCTGATAAAATCTAACCTCATAAAATAGATGTTTTGGTTAAATATTTTTGTTATGTAACTATGATACTATGAATAGATTCTTAAAATTTCATTTACATAATTATTATTGTACTTTTATTTATTTTTAGTGCTAGAAACTAGTTGAGTCAGTTGGGAACATCAAAGCATATTACAAAGATCCTTACCAAATGTATCTAACTTATCTGATTGTTTGTTGTTATTGGATGTTTTTTTTGTATGTTTTATTTTGCATTGATTTGCCAATGATTTCTTATTTCATTTTTCACACACACACACACACACACACAAACACACACACACACTTTCTTCTCTTTAAGATGAACCACTGATATAATAGTTAAGTTACTGTACACAAACTTAAATATTTTCGCATATAAATGTATCCTCATAGCCTTATTTTCAAATCCCTTTATATCCATTGAAATCACTATGATGTGTATACAAAGCTTTTGATCTCATTTGTGAATATATGATATTGTTGTAGTAAACAAAAACTTTTACCCTTCCTCCTATTCTCCCAGAAATTTTAGGCACAAAAAGAGGAATGATTTAAGTTCAAAGTGTTCACCATAATTTAAGGAGTATCAATTTACTTTTAACAATAATATTCTATTTATCACAAGTTTAATTGGTTATTTTGATGAAGTTTTGTTCTCTGAGCTAGATGGTTTGGTCGTGGAGCATTGATAGTCCTTCTGAACGACATCATAAGTACAAAAATTTCACTTCTACCTGAAGTTTGTGCTGATAATGTCTTTCAGAAGGACGATCAAAGCTTCACGACCAAACCATTCAGCTCAGAGAACAAAACTCCATCAAAATCAACCACCTGAGCTACAAATCTTCTACACCATCTTAATTGGTTATATTTATACTATCAGATGCAAAGTCCTATTTCATATTCGAGTTGCAATAAGTTTATTTTACTTTGATGGTAGTAACAATAATAAAAATAGGTGATACAATGATACATGTAGATAATCAATCTTCATGAAAATTTGTTAATACGCCTTTAGAATACATTTGGTCAGTGACAAAGCATATGCATTGAATTATATTAAGAGTGGTATACAATACAGCATGCACCGATCAAATTACACTTGATGGAGAATCTCTGGAAGATGTGAAAACCTTTACATATCTGGGCAGCATCATCGATGAACACGGTGGATTTGATGCAGATGTGAGGGCGAGGATCGGCAAAGCAAGAGCAGCATATTTACAACTGAAGAACATCTGAAACTCAAAACAATTGTCAACCAACACCAAGGTTAGAATTTTCAATACAAATGTCAAGACAGTTCTACTGTATGGGGCGGAGACGTGGAGAAATACGAAAGCCATCATCCAGAAGAAACAAGTGTTAATTAACAGTTGTCTACGCAAGATACTTCGGATCTGTTGACCAAACACTATCAGAAACAACCTACTGTGAGAGAGAAAAAACCAGATTCCAGCGGAGGAAGAAATAAGGAAGAAGTGCTGGAAGTGGACAGGACACACACTGAATAAATCACCCAATTGTGTCACAAGACAAGCCCTCACATGGAATCCTTTAGGGCAGAGGAAAAGGAGAAGAGCAAAGAACATATTACGCCGAGAAATGGAGACAGACTTTTGGTTAAAAGATATATACATACGTTGAAGACTTCACTCGTTCTCCTGACCTTATATTTCTTTTACGATTATTACTGTCTATATCCAGGCACAATTAAATTTATGAAAAGACAAAGTAATGGTTAAAGTAAAAGACTTACACTTTGCTTGAACTAGTAGTATATCAATTAATGGTAGAAATAATATTTATCAAGGTAAATAATATCTAAAGAAAGTAATTTCGAAATACACGACAGATAAACACAGTCTTCGTGAGTAATTAATCATGCCCTTTACAAAGAAAAAATTAATTTGAACGGATTAAATCTTAAAGAGTATAGTATACAGCGTAGCATAGCATTCGTAATCATTTGGGGGTATAGGTAGAGTGGTTGATTAGACCAATCTTCATCATCTGTGTTACCGCTCACATTAGTACATAGGGTGAATGCCATCATCCAGGAGACACAACGAGAACGTGTGAGTCAGAGTTTGACTCCCAGATCTTAAAGAGTTAAATCAATAAATATTAGGCAGTAAACTCTAATTATAGATGATTGCGGTGACAAAAATTTCTGATTTTAATAATGGTTAACGGAGTTTTCACTAGGAAAAGTAATTTCTGGTTAACTAGGTATAAAAGTGGAAATCGTTGTGAATTTAAACCGGGCTTTTTATCACATGATATATTTGCCAATTGAAATACGACTTATTCTATCTTAGCACTATGTTAAACTAA